GCGCTCCTTGTTCCGGTAAATGAAGCCCGGACCACTGATTAGGGTAAAATCGTCTGCTTTATGCATCCGTTCCAAAGCACAAAACTGTAAAACCCTCATACAATAAATGCGGTTGCAAAATGGGTCCTTTACAGAACTGCCCGGATCCCAGATCACATTCCTGGAGTGTAATGATGAGGACACTGGGAGAGACGCTCGTCAGCAACTCACCTTCCTCACCTGCTGCGCTAACAGAAATCACTTTCAAAAAACAAGTTTTTCGCATGTAAGAGTGCTTGCTCGAGGACGGCCTGGACTAAACCAAAATAAGCCGCTCAGCCCGATGGAGGAGTCTCCCACCTCTGGCGCCAGTTTAACTTAAATGGTTTCAGTCACTATCTTAAATTACACTGTTCTGTTTTTCCCCTGTAGGCAAAGAAACAATGTCTTATCGCTTTCGTTTTCTTGTTCTTATCCACTAAAGAAGCAGTAACCAACCCAATCTCCAGAGATTACTTATTTGCTTCTCCCTTAAAAGCCGGCTCCAATACAGCGACAACAAAAATCGCCGCTGTCAAAAATATTAGTGACAGCCCTTTGTATTTCTGACACTCTCAAGAAGCGAGGCCTCATTTTTAACAGAACACCACTGTTAACAGGGTTCTGCACAACCTGTGAAGCAAACACGTTTCAATTTAAGCCTGAGACATCAAGCCAGGTTAAATTCACTGGATACAACTTTGTTCCACTGAAGTCAATGCTTGATTCCCACCTGGCAAGAAGCCATCTCAGCCCATCTAAGCCATATATCCCCTTAACTCTGCTGTCTGAGAGACTAATTTTCCCCTACAAAAACACTAAAAAATACACTACTTTTCAAATGTATCTTCAAACCACTATAAATTAGATTTTCTTACCAACTAGACATAATTTTCATAGGAATTCCACACCCACAAGGAAAAGAGAGCTGTACATTTCAGTCACCATGCAGCAAACTGACCATACCCTAACACCTCGTCTCCCTCAGCTGCAAATATCACGTTGTAGGAAAAGGGCTGTCACTGTGTTTCCAAAACCAGCTGCGCTATCAGCTCCTTGGCATCCTTCATGCTGGAGGAGATCTCGGAGCCATCCTCTGCCACATGGGTACCAATCAAGAACATCTTCCTCTCGTCCCCGATATCAGACAGTGCCAGAGCATCGTGGATATCAGTGATGCAATAAGCACCTTCGAGGTCCTGATACGCAAAAACAAAACAAGCCTGTTAGTTGCATGAGGTGGTGGCACCATTCCTGCTTTGAGCCACTGCCTTTGCCCAGGGAGGGGAAGGGCCTCAAGGGCTCTGGGGCCACCATTCTTACATACCTTCTATGAGACCAAGTTCCCATGCCCTAAAATGCTTTGGGGAAAAAAAAATGTTTACCCTTAACCTAATTTCTTCCCAAAGAAATAAGGGTACAGCTCTGTTTCTAGTAATTCCAGTGTTTCTGATAATAACATAAGACTACCTGTACAAGGCAGACAAGTGTCTTGCTGGCCCAAGACCCCAGGCGCCCATCACAGAGTTAACAGAACAGGGCAAACATACAACAGTCATTCCCTGCGTGCCTTCTCAGCCACCAGTGTTTCTGACTCCGGGACCTAGAGAATCAGTGGT